CATGATTTACTAGCCCCTCTGTGGAAGGGCCCTTATACTGTTATTCTAACTACCCCTACTGCAGTTAAAGTTGCAGGTATTGCCCCTCGGATCCATCATACGAGGGTGAAGAGAACATACCACGCAGACCCAGAAAACGCTGAGTAGACTGCACAGAGGGACCCTGCTGACCCTCGAGAGACTAAGGCCATCCTTAAAAAGAAAAAAAAAAAGATCCCGGACGAGCGCTTGAAGATGAAGCCGCATAATCAACTCCTGCTGCTTCGTCTCATCAACGTACACAGTTCTATGCCAATTTCATAATACCTCCAACTGTTGGGTGTGTGGGGCTATGCCTCTGTCTGTGATGGATGGACTTCCCTGGCAGCTGTCACCACTCTGCCAAGATTTTAAACCACTCTGCTCTTTTCTGGGACACAATCATAATCTCTCCCTTCTCTCTTGGTGTAAGCCAGACCTACAGTCAATAGACTCAGGTCATGGGGTTACATATTATGTAAACACCAGTTTCATAAAAGTAACAAAAGTGGTAATTCAAATTAAAATGGTTTTGGACATGCTCGCAGCTGTTCAAAGAGGGACCTATGCTATAATTAAGGTTAAATGTTGTGTATATATTCCTGATTTATCTGACAATGTATCAGCTACTTTAGATGTCATAAAAAACCAGGTAAATATGGGACACTGTAAAAGCAGTGCTAAGGGGAAGGTTCATAGCATTACAGGCTTACCTCAAGAAACAAGAAAAAAGTCAAATAAATAACCTAACTCTACAACTAAAGCAATTAGAGAAGGAAGAAATGAAGAACCCCAGGGTTAATAGAAGGAAAGAAATCTTTAAAATTAGGGCAGAAATAAATGCAAAAGAAACTAAAGAAACCATAGCAAAAATCAACAAAGCTAAAGGCTGGTTTTTTGAAAAAATAAACAAAATTGACAAACCATTAGCAAGACTTATTAAGAAACAAAGACAGAAGAACCAAATTAACAAAATTAGAAACGAAAATGGAGAGATCACAACAGACAACACTGAAATACAAAGGATCATAAGAGACTACTACCAGCAGCTCTATGCCAATAAAATGGACAACTTGGAAGAAATGGACAAATTCTTAGAAAAGTATAACTTTCCAAAACTGAACCAGAAAGAAATAGAAGATCTGAACAGACCCATCACAAGCAAGGAAATCGAAACTGTAATCAGAAATCTTCCAGCAAACAAAAGCCCAGGACCAGATGGCTTCACAGCTGAATTCTACCAAAAATGTAGAGAAGAGCTAACACCTATCTTACTCAAACTCTTCCAGAAAATTGCAGAAGAAGGTAAACTTCCAAACTCATTCTATGAGGCCACCATCACCCTAATTCCAAAACCAGACAAAGATGCCACAAAAAAAGAAAACTACAGGCCAATATCACTGATGAACATAGATGCAAAAATCCTTAACAAAATTCTAGCAAACAGAATCCAACAACATATTAAAAAAATCATACACCATGACCAAGTGGGCTTTATCCCAGGAATGCAAGGATTCTTTAATATCTGCAAATCAATCAATGTAATACACCACATTAACAAATTGAAAGATAAAAACCATATGATTATCTCAATAGATGCAGAGAAAGCCTTTGACAAAATTCAACATCCATTTATGATTCAAACTCTCCAGAAAGCAGGAATAGAAGGAACATACCTCAACATAATAAAAGCTATACATGACAAACCCACAGCAAGCATCACCCTCAATGGTGAAAAATTTAAAGCATTTCCCCTGAAATCAGGAACAAGACAAGGGTGCCCACTCTCACCACTACTATTCAACATAGTTTTGGAAGTGTTGGCCACAGCAATCAGAGCAGAAAAAAGAAGTAAAAGGAATCCAGATAGGAAAAGAAGAAGGGAAACTCTCGCTGTTTGCAGATGACATGATCCTCTACATAGAAAACCCTAAAGACTCTACCAGAAAATTACTAGAGCTAATCAACGAATATAGTAAAGTTGCAGGATATAAAATTAACACACAGAAATCCCTTGCATTCCTATACACTAACAACGAGAAAACAGAAAGAGAAATTAAGGAAACAATACCATTCACCATTGCAACAAAAAGAATAAAATACTTAGGAGTATATCTACCTAAAGAAACAAAAGACCTATACATAGAAAACTATAAAACACTGATGAAAGAAATCAAAGAGGACACAAACAGATGGAGAAACATACCGTGTTCATGGATTGGAAGAATCAATACTGTCAAAATTGCTATACTACCCAAAGCAATCTATAGATTCAATGCAATCCCTATCAAGCTCCCAACGGTATTTTTCACAGAACTAGAACAAATAATTTCGCAATTTGTATGGAAATACAAAAAACCTCGAATAGCCAAAGTAATCTTGAGAAAGAAGAATGGAACTGGAGGAATCAACCTGCCTGACTTCAGACTCTACTACAAAGCCACAGTCATCAAGACAGTATGGTACTGGCACAAAGACAGAAACATAGATCAATGGAACAGAATAGAAAGCCCAGAGATAAATCCACGAACCTATGGACACCTTATCTTCGACAAAGGAGGCAAGGATATACAATGGAAAAAAGACAACCTCTTTTAACAAGTGGTGCTGGGAAAACTGGTCAACCACCTGTAAAAGAATGAAACTAGAACACTTTCTAACACCATACACAAAAATAAACTCAAAATGGATTAAAGATCTAAATGTAAGACCAGAAACTATAAAACTCCTAGAGCAGAACATAGGCAAAACACTCTCTGACATGAATCACAGCAGGATCCTCTATGACCCACATCCCAGAATATTGGAAATAAAAGCAAAACTAAGCAAATGGGACCTAATGAAACTTAAAAGCTTTTGCACAACAAAGGAAGCTATAAGCAAGGTGAAAAGACAGCCCTCAGATTGGGAGAAAATAATAGCAAATGAAGCAACAAAGGATTAATCTCAAAAATATACAAGCAACTCCTGAAGCTCAATTCCAGAAAAATAAATGACCCAATCAAAAAATGGGCCAAAGAACTAAACAGACATTTCTCCAAAGAAGACATACAGATGGCTAACAAACACATGAAAAGATGCTCAACATCACTCATTATCAGAGAAATGCAAATCAAACCACAATGAGTTACCATTACACGCCAGTCAGGATGGCTGCTATCCAAAAGTCTACAAGCAATAAATGCTGGAGAGGGTGTGGAGAAAAGGGAACCCTCTTACACTGTTGGTGGGAATGCAAACTAGTACAGCCGCTATGGAGAACAGTGTGGAGATTTCTTAAAAAACTGGAAATAGAATTGCCATATGACCCAGCAATCCCACTTCTGGGCATACACACTGAGGAAACCAGATCTGAAAGAGACACGTGCACCCCAATGTTCATCGCAGCACTGTTTATAATAGCCAGGACATGGAAGCAACCTAGATGCCCATCAGCAGACGAATGGATAAGGAAGTTGTGGTACATATACACCATGGAATATTACTCAGCCATTAAAAAGAATTCATTTGAATCAGTTCTAATGAGATTGATGAAACTGGAGCCCATTATACAGAGTGAAGTAAGCCAGAAAGATAAAGAACATTACAGCATACTAACACATATGTATGGAATTTAGAAAGATGGTAATGATAACCCTATATGCAAAACAGAAAAAGAGACACAGATGTACAGAACAGACTTTTGGACTCTGTGGGAGAAGGTGAGGGTGGGATGTTTCGAGAGAACAGCATGTATATTATCTAGGGTGAAACAGATCACCAGCCCAGGCTGGATGCATGAGACAAGTGCTTGGGCCTGGTGCACTGGGAAGACCCAGAGGAATTGGGTGGAGAGGGAGGTGGGAGGGGGTATTGGGATGGGGAATACATGTAACTCCATGGCAGATACATGTCAATGTATGACAAAACCCACTGCAATGTTGTGAAGTAATTAGCCTCCAACTAATAAAGATAAATGAAAAAAAAAAAAAACAGGTTAAAAACAATGTCAAATGCTAGACTTCGGTACTATCTTGGGCGAAGGGTGATTGGTGGAAAAATTAATTTACCATTGTTACAGTTGCCTTGGTAGTTTTGTCCTGAGACCTTGCATTTTACAATGTATTATAAGCTATGTAACCCAAAGGTTGGTGTCGTTCTGCCAAATTGGCGGTCAGAGAGCCAGGGTGCAATATGAATGATGCTCATACTATGAGTTAAGAGCATCAAGAGCGGGGAATGAAGGAGGAAACAGAACAGGCTCTATCTTGAAAACAGGACTCCATCTTGGGCCAGACTGTGGACTTTGAGGTATATGCCCACTATCTATGGAAACGACATACCAACTGGAAAACCAGGCCCCCAGAAGGAAGAGCTCCGGGGCTCTCCATCACCTATGGTTAACTGTGACTATATTTTTCTTTTATCTTTGTTCAGACTAGTTTCAGGGGATTTTGGGGAAATGGAAGTTTGGACACGTACGCTTAGGGTATATAAGGTTTTCACAAAAACTGGTTGGGATCCTTGGCTAAGAGGAAACTCTGCCTTGGGCCCACCGGTATAATAAACTGCACTCCACTATCTGCATTGTCCTTCTGAGTGAGTTTGTTTCCTGGAACGCGTGGCTACAACACAACCAGGACTGAATCCGGGCCCCCTGCAATGGAAGTGTGGAGTCTCAATCACTGGACCAGCAGGGAAGCCCACGTGATGACAGCTTTTGAGGCTTTTGAAAATAAGGGGTAATTCCTCAGGAAGACCCATTACTTATCAGCTGAGTCCAGGGGCTTCGGCCACCTTTCCTCCGACCATGGATAAGAGGGCACAGGGTGGGGAGCGCCTGGCGTGATTCAATTTTTTTTTAAAGCAGTTCGAATTCAGAAGCCCCGAGCTCCCGTTTGAGAAGCCGTCTGCAAAGCCTCCGTAGGCTTCCCGGCAGGGGAAATCCATCATCTAGATTTCGCCAAAGCGGACTTCCGGCGGCGGGGACGCAGCGCGCAGACATGGACCCGGCGGGGCCTTCCGCGCCCGAGTCGACCCACGGCGCCAGCTGGTCCGAGGCCCAGGCCGGGCGGGACACAGTCCCGCTCCCGACCGGTGAGTACCGCGCCGGGGGCGGCCGGGTGGGGCTCGGTGGGGGGCCAGGGCCTCTCTCCGGTCGCCGCCTTACGGGGGTCGCCGGCCCCGCCTCCGAGAACGCGCTGAAGTCTTTGCCCCGCGGCCCCGGGGCGTCCAGCGCTAGCGGCCCCGCGCCCAGACCACTACCCGGGGCCTCTCAGAGGGGCGAGTTTGCCCCCGTTTACCGTGTGCCGTGCCTCCCCCACTGCAGATGGGACAGCCCATTGCAGCGGTCCTACGGCTCTAGGATTGCAACCAACTGGGGAAAGCGAAAGAAACGCCTGTGGGTTTCCTTTCCCGGCGCGGCTCCACCCGCTTCTAAAACAATGCGATCGGAGAAGTGCCCCGGGGAGGGGGGAGTTAGGCTGGAGGTGGACCCCTTTTGAAGAGAACTGTTCAGTTGGGTCTCAGGATCAGTTGTTTAGTCCCTAAATCGCGTCCGACTCTTTGTGACCCCATGGACTGTAGCCCGCCAGGCTCCTCTGTCTAAGGGATTCCCCAGCAGGAATACTGGAATGGGTAGCCATGCCCTCCTCCAGGGGAGCTTCTGGACTCAGGGATCGAACCCCGGTCTTCTGCACTGGCAGGCGGATTTGTTTTTTCTTTAACCTCTGAGCCACTGGAGAAGCCGGGCGGGGAGGGGGGTGGGGGCGGGCTGGCCGGGTTTAAGGAAACAGTTCGGAAACTTTCCACAGAGAATGAAACCTTTTGGAACCACGCTCTCCTTTCCATTTAGTAGTTCAAGTCTGTGGCCCTGTCTTTAGGCGAGACAGCAGCCTCTTGAGGGGGCACCTTTCTTGCCGTTCAGCAGGTGTGGATCTTCTAGCCCGTGTAGGCCTTCTTCCCGGTGCAGGCTCAGGACCAGGTGCCAGAATACAGAGATGAGCTGGGCAGACCCTGCCCTAGAGAATCAAATAGACAGCTCGTGTGTGAGCTGCTGAGAACCACAGAGGCGCAAATGAGGGGCTCCTTCAGCTCAGCCTGGTGTTCAGGGACACCCTGTCTTCGTTTTAAAAGGCAAGAGTCAAGTCACCCAGGGGTAGAAAGGTTGAAAGGGCAGTCCAGAGATGAAGACTCGAATAAAGGCTCTGGCCACAAAACATCAAATGGCAGCCACAAGGGAAGCAACATGCTGACTGTTTCACTTTAGCCAGCGAGCATTTAGCTAGGGGGCTTCCCTGGTGGCTCAAATGGTAAAGACTCTTTCAGCAATGTAGGAGACCTGGGTTTGATCCCTGGTTGGGAAGATCCCCTGGAGAAGGGAATGGCTACCCACTCCAGTATTCTTGCCTGGAGAATTCCATAGACAGAGGAGCTTGGTGGGCTACATACAGTCCATGAGGTCGCAAAGAGTTTGGACACAGCCAAGCGACTTAACACTAGCACTAGTGATCATACAGAATGCAAGATAAGTTACTGGAGATGAGGTTGCTTCCGGACCTTTTCCCCAAACTCCAGACTCCTATAACCATTTTAATCAATGCCTGGAACGATCTCAAACTCTCGTTTGCCTGCACACACCCGCATTCTCCAAAGCTGCCTAACCACTAGCAGCCTTTCCCATTCCATTCACCCAGGTGCTCAGACCAAAACCCTAGTGTCATGCTCGGTGCCGCTCTCTCCTCCTTACCGCCCGTCTCACATGTCAGTCAGACCAGTCAGTTCTGTCTCCAAAATTTATCTCGAGCCTGACCTTTTCTTGCCACTTCTATCACTACCATCCAAGCCACCATCATCTCAGGCCTAGACTGTGGGTTTCCTGACTTCCACTCTAGCCTCTCATAGACAGGACTGTACAGTAGCCAAAAGGACCTTATAAAACAAAAAGCAAATGTGATTCTCCTGCTCAAAGCCCTCTAGTAGTCTCATTGCTTTCAGAATAATCTTACTGTGGCTGCTGTGTACTCCATGTCCTGACCCAATCCAGTCCCTACCCATCTTGATGACTGTCACCCCTCACTGCCTTGTGAGTCCTCTAAACCCCCACCATATTCAAATCTCTGCTCAGAGGTAACCTCCACAGACAGCCTTGCCTGCCCACCCTGTTTGGAAGAGCCCTCCCCCGACCCCCATCAATCTCACCCTCCTTCCCTTGCTGGGTTTTTCTTCATAGCACTTACTACTACCTGAAAATAATATGTTTGAGAGTCTGTCTCTACTACTAGTATGTAAGTTTCATGAGTGTTGAAATTCACATCTTATTCCCTGCTTTATTTCTAGTGCCTAAAAGGATACATAATAGATGCTCATTACATATTGAAGAAACCAGTCAGTCTGCATGTAAAGAGCTTGGCTTCTATTCTTCAGGTGATAGAGAAGGGTTTTTAGCAGGAGAGAGACATGGACAGTGGACATTTTAGATAGCTCACTCTGGCAGCAATGTGAAGAAGGAAGTGGAGGCGTGACAAGGGAAAGCAGGAGGAGGGAGATGAGATCATCAGAATGGACAAGATAAAAGACAGTGAGGGCAAGGCAGTCCACTTTTCCACACCACTGCCAGAACTCACTCTCCGGTGCACATGTGCCTACACAGATCAGGTCATGGTAGTACCATTCAGTTCAGTTCAGTCGCTCAGTCGTGTCTGACTCTTCGCGACCCCATGAACTGCAACACGCCAGGCCTCCCTGTCCATCACCAACTCCCGGTTTACTCAAACTCATGCCCATCGAGTCGGTGATGCCATCCAGCCATCTCATCCTCTGTCATCCCCTTCTCCTCCTGCCCCTAATCCCTCCCAGCATCAGTTCCATTAGGACCTGTTAATTAGGACCTGTTGGCTACCAAGAGTACAAAATCAACCTGATACAATTTAAGCAAAGGGGATGCTTGTTAAGTGGAAAGCAGGGAGACCAGACTCATCCCAGGAGCATGGATGCTGTTGCGTTTTCCAGAAAGAGCCAGGAACCAGGGCCTGAAAAGTCTACATAAAGCTCGACCGCACTCAGCATGTCTGCTTTGTTCTTCTCTTTCTTTGGTCCAGTTTTCCTGCTAATGGGATAGAAGATGGCCACCCTCACAGCTTCTCAGGTTTTTACATCTCCTTCTTCAAGAAACCAGCCCAGTCTGAACTAAAATCTTCTATTCTGAATTCTGTATATCTGGGACGGGCAGGTAGGTCCTCTAGGACTGTCAGCTGTGCGTAGGGAAAGAGTCACATAGTACAGACATGTCTGCTGGGGGTCATTCCTGTGTGCGATGATGAGCCTGGATAAATCAGGAAATAGGAAGAAAATAGTGAATTAACCCAGTAGAAAAATGGGCTAAGGATGTCAGTGCCAGAGAAGAAATGCAAATGCCACCTTGTGATATCCTATATTCATGATTAGAGATGATGATTCATTTCCTCTGCACTTTGTATTCTTTTTTGACTCAGTCATCTAACTTTCTGTCCCAGCTGTATCTTTATAATATGTTTTAAAATCAGACACTCTCATTTTTTCCCAAGTTTTGTTCACTACCCATAATCATTTATTCTTCCAAATAATATATTTTTCAACTTCTTTAAAATAACCTTCTTGAGATTTAATTTGAAATGGCATTAAATCTAAAACTTATGCCAACCGAAGAAAAACACAACCTAAACATTGCAAGTTTTGTTTCATGTTGGGACCTTACTCAGGACTGTAGCCTGGGAGCCAGACTCTGAGGAACTGCTTTGAAGAGGTGAGGGAGGAGCCAGGATATATAGTTTTTGTTGAAAAAAAAACATGTGGTTGAACATCAGAAGACTACTGCTAATAACGAAATCTCAAGTTAATGATTTTAGAGCTTTTCTAAGTATGGGAAGATGCAAGAATCTGGGCTCATGGAAATTATTCCTTAGAAATGCATCGTAAGTATTTAGAGCAAGTATTCTGTTTTCACCATCCTGAATTCCCGAGGGCACACTGTTATTGAGGGGTGGGGGTTGCTGCAGTGGCTGACGGCTTGATGGCAGGCAGCATGTTTTTGTCTGCCCGTATTTGAGATAGAACACACAGCACTATGACATCCAGCCTTCTGTCCAGGTGCACCGTATTTCTCTCGTACTGAAATGGAACCTAAAACAACTCTTTCATCATGTTATTCCCCTCCTCAAAAATCCTTCCTGGCAGCCTTTCACCATCTGATCCTCAGATTCTTTTCCAGCTTCCTTTGCACGAACTCTCCTCTTCAGTCCCGCTGATCAGCTGTCTCCCAGTCAGACCTCTTGGCCTCTTCCTCCATCTGTGCTTCTGTCCGCAACGTCCCTCCCGCCTTGACTCCCCTTTTCATCTCCAGGTTGTACCGGCTCAAATCCGTGTCCTTGACAGTACCCCATCCCACAGGGAGCACTTCCTCGTCTGCCCGTAGCATGTATTTTATTTCCTACTCAGCAGTTACATTACTCTGTGCTGTGTATTCTGTTGTTTTACTTTCCTAGTTGCTATTTCGTCTCCTTGTTTACCTTGTAAGCTTCTTGCAGGGAACAGTTCTGCCTCATGTTTCTTTTACATCCCCTGTTCTACCTTCTTCCATCTGTACCGTATCTTCCATATGGTAGCCACCGTCTACCTATGCCTCTTGAGCACCGAAAATGTGGATTGTCCAGTTGAGACGTGCAGTAAGCCCTAAACACTGGACTTCAAAACTCAGTACAAAGGATGAATTCATTGTTTTATTGATTAAATGTTGAAAGGGTAGTATTTTGGATATATTTGATGGAATAAAGCCTATTAAAATTAATTTCACCAACTTCCTTTTGAGGGGGGCTTGCCGTGCAGCATGTGGAATCTTAGATCCCCAATGGGATCAAACCCATGCCCCCTGCATGGAGAGCACAGAGTGTTAACCACTGGACCACCAGGGAAGTCCCTCCTTTGCTTTTTTTAAATGAGGCTTCTAGAAATTCTTCATCTGCACCTGTGGCTCACATGGTGTTTCTACAGACCGCGCTGGTCTAGAGCCCTCAACACAGTGACTCTTGTATAAAGAGGCGCTCCCAACTCAGTGATAGTTTGAGAGGAATGAAAGGCAGCAGTTCGCCCATTCCATTTCACATGAGGCATTTTCTCTCAGTCTCCCCCACTCCCGTTTTCTTGGTTGATAGGAGCAGGAGGATCACTCATTTGTAGCCCCACTAAGCAGGACTCCAATCCAGGAAACAGACGATAGTTAAAGAAGAAACTCATCTGAACGTGAAACAAATACTAGCTCCAAAGTGAGGTTTTTGGACAGTGTGAGATGCAAAATCTAATTTAAGAGAGGTGCTAAGAGATCTTATACTTTGGAGTAACCAAAAAGACTTTTACGAAGAGCTTAAGCAGTTTGTGAAAGTGAAGTCACTCAGTCGTGTCCGACTCTGTGACCCCATGAAGCCCACCAGGCTCCTCCATCCATGGGATTTTCCAGGCAAGAATACTGGAGTGGGTTGCCATCTTCTTCTCCATTAAGCAGTTTAACCTCATCTAAATCAAACCCTTTCACCATTAAATGAAGTTTTGTTTCAGAACTAAAATTTGAAGGTAAAATTGAAAATGCTCTCTGCTATGGAAAACCAGATGAATAAAGAGGATGAGCATTGGAAAGGGCAAGGAAATATTACATTGATGCTTGTGGCTAAATTAACAGCAAACTAATAGATTAGAGAGTAAAGGTTGTCTCCCACTGGTGCATCCAAGTGGGATGTTGGGAACAGCTGGCTTTTTTCTGTCTCTGACTCTTCTCTGTTCTTCCTGGCTCTCCTTCTCTGTTCTTTCCTTTCTTCATTCTTCTCTTAAAAAAAAATAATCTCCTTCCTACCATCATGTGTCTTTCTCTCCTAATTTATTATAATGCTAGATTACATCACATTTAAGTACATTGTTCATTTACTTCTTTAATTCACCCCAAATTTATTTTTGAATATAGTATAGTATAAGGATCTAAATTCTTTCTTATAGATAGTTAATCAGAGCATTATTTGTGGAATACAGTTGATTTATAATGTCAGTGACTGTAACTGAGAGCTTACTGTGGGCCCGGCAGTGTACCTTGTATTTAAATTCCTACTTAGGTTTGTTAGGCAAAGGTTTTCCTCATGTCTGTGTGTGCTCAATCTCTTCAGTCTTGTCTGACTCTTTGTGACCCTGTGGACTGTTAGCTCACCAGGCTCCTCTGTCTACGGGATTTTGCAGGCAGGAAGACTGGAGTGGGTTGTCATTCCCTCCTCCATGGGAATCTTTCCGATCCAGGGGTCAAACCGTGTCTCTTAGTCTCCTGCATTGGCAGGCCGATTCTTTACCACTAGCGCCATCTGGGAAGCCCATTGTTCCTCATGTTTAATTTTGTTTATTTATTTACCTTTTTTTTTTTAGAAAGTCCCTGGACATTTTTAATAAAATATTTTCTTTTTTTTTTCATTAAGCCATTAGAAAATGCAAATGTAAAATTTTTAAAATTGCAAAGGTGCATTTCTACTTGGGTCCTGAATTTTTTCTCCCTGGGAGCTGAGACTCTCTTCTAAAAACAAGTGCCCAGCCCTCTCATTTAAGATGGGTGGAGGAGTTACAGACCAAGAAATTCCACTTTTCCATTTCTCATGAGGGATATTACTTTGTAGGTGTCTTCCAGGTTGCAGAAAGGTTGCAAAAAAGGATATGCGCGCTCTGCCCCAAAGACCTCGAGTGTAGTGTCCTGTACTTTGCACAGTCAGAGAATATAGCTGCTCATGAAAACTGTTTGGTAAGTTTGAACACACATGAATCCTTTCAGGGAAGGACATCCCAAAATAGATAAATGTACTTCGAATACAACAAAGAACAACACATTGACTGCCCGTGGTTTGGACTTTTAAGTGGGGATTTGGGGAGCATATTTTTCTCTTTCTAAAGTTTCAGGTAGTAATACTTTTTGATTACTTTTGGTTTTATTTATAACTGATCAAACAAGAAATTATGGTGAAGAAGCTTCTTTAAAGGTATTTTAATTAAATATTTCAAATATAACAGATACCCACAGACATTTATAAAATGTCTACCCCAGATTTATAAAATGATGTATGATACTCACTTCAGCTTTTTTTTTTTTAAAGGGAAAACAGCGTAGATAGTTAAGGAGTCTCCCTTCTCTGTCCCATTTGCAGCATTCCTTCGCCAACACAAATTTGGTTCTTATTATTATCTTGTGTTTTCAATTTTATGCTTCCACCACATATTTAAGTACTTCTAAACAATAATATGTATTGTTTTACATGTTCTTGGACTTTACAGAATTTCTATCAAATTCTGTGGATCATTGAGACTTACCGTTGTTGATAGTAGCTCTACTTTTTAATTTTAAATGTTACAGTATTCCATTTTATGACTATAATTACTATCTTTTTATTTTATTTTATTTTTAATTACTGTCTTTTTAAAATGATTTTGTTTTTCTTTCTTTAGTGTTTATTTATCTTTTGACTGTGCTGATTCCTCGTTGCTGCGCCTGGGCTTTCTCCACTTGCAGCAAGCAGGGGCTACTGTCTAGTTGGTGGTGCATGGGCTTCTCAGCGCTGGGGCTTCTCTTGTTGCGGAGCAGAGGCTCCGGAGGGCGCAGGCTCAGCAGTTGTGCACGGGCTTGGTTGCAAGACATGTGGGATCTTCCTGGATCAGGGATCGAGCCTGAGTCCCCTGCATTGGCAGGCAGATTCTTAGTCACTGGACCCCCAGGGAAGTCCCTATAATCACTGTTAAAGTGAATGATCATTTGGGGTTTTCCACTTTTTTGTGTGACTGACCAGCTGCTGTGAATATCCTTGGATAGGTCTCCTAATTCATAGGAGCTTTCCTCTGATCTGGGGCACTTAGCAAAAAGCAGAACTGCTGGGCACGGGAAGGGAGGGTTCTGCACCTCATGAAATCTGCCAGACTGCTCTCCAAAGGGATTGCACCAAGTCTGACTTACCTTACTTCTTTGTCAACACTTAATTCTGTGTGATTTATTTATTTATTTATTTTGGTCTGGCAAAAGTGTGCGTAATTATGTAGAAAACTGCCAAACTGTCCTCCATGGTGGCTGTACCATTTTACATTCCCACCCGAAATGAGTGAGAGTTCATGTTGTTTGTATTTTAATCAGTAATGGCCTGATGATATGAGATTTTGAAGATCTTTTCATGTATTTATTTGCCATCTGTATATCTTCTTTGGTGTTGTCTGTTCAGATCTTTTGTCCAGTTTTCATTAGCTTATTATTGTTGTTAAGTTTTAAGAGCTCTTTATATCTTGGATAGAAGTCCTTTGACAGATATATTTTATGTATTTTCTCCCAACCTGTAGCTTTTCTTTTCTTTCTCTTCACAGTTCCTCCTTGGGTCTATGGTTTGTCTGTCATGATACTATGAAATTTAATGTTTTCCTTTCAGATAGTGTGAGATAGTCTCTTGTTTGTATTTGCAGTTCCTGGATGACTTAGTGGGTTTGCACCTCCCTTGCTGTGCTTCTGTGTGGTTCTGTTTTGCTTTCTTTTTGCAGTTCTGTTTGTCGATTCTATGACTTCTGTTCAGAGACTACATTTTATTTTTGCGATCTTTTTTTAAATTTTTTTGAGATCTTAATTTCACTTATATATGTTCATTTACATAAAAATACATTCAACGCTTTATCATATATTTGGCTTTTGAGTTTATTTATGGTGCTTCCTGTTGCATGGAAGCTTGTAATGTAATGAATATTCATCATTTTCCTTTATAATTTGTAGGATTTTCACCCTAAGAATTTCTTTTCCATATTAAGGTTCTGTTTCCCAAAAAGTTTAGAAATTGTGTTGTTCTCATTTAGCTTCTTTTTAAAATTATGCTAATCAGTTTATTGTTGATAATAAGAATGCCTTTGGATTTAGGAACAGCTTATTTAGGACTGAGGTAAATTAGAAAGCTATGGGCTTCCCAGGTGGCTCAGTGGTTAAGAATCCATCTGACAATGCAGGAGATGTGGATTTGATCCCTAGTTGAGAAGATCCCCTGGAGAAGGAAATGGCAACCTCCTCTAGTATTCTTGCCTGGGAAACCCCCATGAACTGAGGAGCCTGTTGGGCTACAGTCTGTGGGGTCACAAATGAGTTGGATACAACTTAGCTACTAAACAACAACATGTTAGAAAGCTAAAGGAAAGATTGAAATAATTAAGGGAAGTGATATTTTTGATGCAACTGAATTTATCTGGATTACCACATAAAGCAGGGATCTCCTTTTGACAGCTTATGGTGAATGATGTCAGATTCGTGATATCTAAAGATGATGATTTAGCTTTGGGACCAGGAGCCAGGCTTGATCACTCAAGAACTTCTGTGTAACAGAGTTTTATTAAAGAGAAAAAGGGACAGAGAAAGCTAACACAGACATCAGAAGCGGGGTGGAGAGTACCCCACTCACTGGTCTTTGCAAGGGTGCTATATACCTTATTAGAGTAAAGGGTCTTACCAGACCCACTCCCACAACATACATCTTAAGATAACAAGGTTAGTCAGAAGGTTCTTGTTAAGGAGAAACATATCTTTGAGCAAGATTCATTGTTATATTGACTAAGACAAAGCAGTGTAGAAAAAAACATCTGTCCTTTTCTCCTCTTTGAGAACTCCAGACCCCTGTCTCCTCCTTGAGTGCCCTGGACTTCTTATCAACCTACCTAGGAATTGACTCTCTCACTTTTTTTTTTTAGTGTGATTAACTACTTCCCCCAGCTCTATCTTGCCTGCAGTGCAGGAGACCTAGGTTTGATCCCTGGGTTGGGGAGATCCCCTGGAGAAGGGAATGGCTGCCCATTCTGGTATTCTTGCGTGGAGAATTCCATGGACAGAGGAGCCTGGCGGGCTGTAGACCATGGGATTGCAAAGAGTCAGACACAATTGGGCAACTAACACTTTCACTTTCCTGCACTGTTTTTAAAAAAACAAACTAGCCTTTCCTTACTGATTTGTAGTGATAATAATGTTAACTATTGTTATTATTATTTGGTGTCCACTGTGTGTAAGGTAATACTCTGGGAGCTTAACCTGTATTTAACTATTCATCCTCACAATTACCCTAAGACGGAGGTTTTGTAATTAGGCCCAAACTAAGGAAATGGCAGCCCACTCCAGTACTCTTGCCTGGAAAATCCCATGGACAGAAGAGCGTGGTAGGCTACAGTCCATGGGGTCACGAAGAGTCGGACATGACTGAACGACTTCACTTTCAAAGGTGGAGCAACTGAGGCACAGAGAAATTAAGTGACTTGCCCAAGGTCACAGGGCTGTAAGTGACTGAGCCAGGTCTCTCACCTAGATGTCTAGTTCTTGAACCTTCATCCTTACCTGTTGCTCTTAACAGTTTTGTCATATGGGCACAGATATCTTTCTGACTGTCCGTTCTGCTCCATTGGTCACTTGTGTATCCCTGAGTTGGTACAGTGCTCTTAACTACTGTGATTTTATGATAAGCCTTGGCTGTTTTTTTGCACTTTGAATTTTGAGATCAGCTCATCAGGTTTCACAGAAATTTCTATTGGAATTTTAACTGGAATTCCACCAAATTTATAGATAAATTTGGGGAAAAAATAGACACCCTTACAATATGTCTTTCCATTAACAGGGGTGTCTCTCCAATTAGCCAGGTCTTTTATGAATTTCAAAAATGTCCAACAATTTTTGTCTATAGCAGTCTAGAACTTTGGGTTTGGTCTATTCCTGCATTGGTTTTTGTTTTGTTTTTTTTAATACATTTTTAAAATGGACTATTATTGGTATACAGGCTTCCCAGGTGGCTTAGTGGTAAAAAACCCACGTGCCAATACAGGAGACGAAGGTTCAATCTGGGGATCAGAAGGATTTCCTGGAGAGGAAATGACAGCCCACTCCAGTATATTCTTGCTTGAAGAATCCCATGAACAGAGGAGGCTATAGTCCACAGGGTTACAAAAGAGTTGGGTATGACTTAGCAACTAGACAACAACATAATTGATATACACAAACACTATTGATTTTTTTTTTAACTCATCCAAAAATCTTGCCAAGTTCTCACATCTAAAAGTCAGATTTACTTGAATATTTTGGACAGTCCTCATCTATAAATGAAGAGTTTTTTTTCCTTTAAATTTTTTGGCCTCTTAATTTCTTTTTCTTATTTTACCACATTTTTCTAGAACATTGTGTTATACTGGTGATTAGAAGCATTTTAGTGAGCTTTGATTGTTCTTATATTACTGGGATGCTTCTGGATTTTATCATTAAATTTGTATTTAGGTTTTTAATACTTTCAATTTATGAAAACTAGATCGCTCCCTTTTATTTCTAGTTTTCTACAAGTTAAAGTATTGAATATTATGAAGTGCTTTTTTCTGCATCTGTTGTAATGATCTTCTGGGTTCTTTCCCTCTCTTTCTCTGGCCATGCACAATGCTAGATGCTTTCTTTTTTTTTTTTTTTCCATTTATTTTTATTAGTTGGAGGCTAATTACTTTACAACATTGCAGTGGTTTTTGTCATACATTGAAATGAATTAGCCATGGATTTACATGTATTCCCCATCCCGGTCCCCCCTCCCACCTCCCTCTCCGCCCTATCCCTCTGGGTCTTCCCAGTGCACCAGGCCCGAGCACTTGTCTCATGCATCCAACCTGGGCTGGTGATCTGTTTCACCCTAGATATACATGTTTCGATGCTGTTCTCTTGAAACATCCCACCCTCGCCTTCTCCCACAGAGTCCACAAGTCTGTTCTATATATCTG